GTGATCATAAGTTGGATTGGTTCGGATCGGTTCAATCACCCGATGATAAGTAAAGGAGTAATTGAACCGATCCGAACCAATCCAACTTATGATCACTCAATGATCAAGAGATTCCAAGCTTAATCCCGCGGAAGGATGGAAATGATGTGGAGATAGTATGATTGACTCGCTCAATCAATGGGTTAATCGACTCACTCGATCAATGAACGAAACAAGGATGTTGAACTTATCAACAAACTTAATCCGCAGATTCAAATAGGCCTAAGAGACTCACTCACTTAAGACTAATGAACAAACGACAAAGACTCAAACTTTGACAAGAAGAAAATGTTCTTATTACTTTAATATGATCAAGGGTGACTTTTACAAAGAAATGACTTGAGCTTATATAGGCTCGACTCTAGGTTTGGTGCAACAGTCTAATGACTCAAAATAGGAAAGCAATACACGAAATAAATCAAAGAAATCAAGTGGAGATGTGCCTTGAAAGAATATAGTTGTTAGGCTTTGAATACTTAGGTCATCTTTTGGGACATCTTTTATTTAATGCATGTGTTTGGATTGATCACCAAACGCTTATCCAAGAGGTTAGGAGCTCTAACCGGGTAAACCTAATCTCGGACATAGTGTTACCAATCCTTCGTGTTGTTGCCTGCATAAGTTGAGTAACAGGACTTAGAGTACTTAGCGAGTCCAACCCTAATGCATCGATCTATGCGTCGTTGCCTGCGTCAGTTGTGTAACGGAGTATAGGAAGATTTGCCGGCTTATTCTATAACCTACGATAACTCGTTCATTCGCTTTTCGTAGTTATGAACTAGAACGGAAACATAGAAACCCTAGAGATCTAAACCCTAGTTAGTCGAGAACCATGATACCCGGAGAAACCTGAGAACACCCAACGTCTTAGTCATATAGTTTACAACCGTTTATCATCTTAGCTTTCTTTTGTTTACTTAGCTTTCATTCATCGCATGCATTTACTTTCATTGCATTAGTCTTTACACTACAGGAAAAGCGGGTATTAATAGCAGTTGAAGATAGCGGTTTAGATGGTTATGCTATGTTTGATTATTGCCTCTTTTATTCATAGCGTTTGTGAAATATAAAACGCTATAATATATTGGGCGGCAAAAGTCACGTGGTTCGCGCTTAAGAATTTTGCCATCCATTTCTCTATACAAAATTTAGAATGCTATGGTATGTTAACCGCGAAACAAAATTTTGATGCCCGCCCAACTAATAAAAATTTCGGATATCTCAAAGGTATGTGGTCAAAAATTAGGGTTCACGTCTATCTCTTTTTCCCATTCGACACCTCTGTCTCTTTTCAATTTTTCTTTTTGGCAACTCTCGATCCTCCATCTCTGTCCCGATCTCAACTCTCGATCCTCCATCTCAGTCCCGATCTCTCAATCAGACTCGTTACTCCATCTCTGTCTCGATCTCTCAATCACAGTCATGTTCCTCGTACTTTCATTCTTGATCTCTATATATCTCCGTTTCGTTCCCTCTCAATCGTCATCTACAGCGATAAATCGAATTGGTGTGGTCGAATTTGACATTGTATGTGAGATAGTGCTTGGGTTTTGGTTATTTTTTCACAGATTTAAGGTTTCAGATTATTTCTCTTTTTTGTAGTAAGAGCTCGGTGAGACTTCAGTTAAAGACATCCCTCTCAGTCTCAATTCCTCTCTGTCTCAATCCCTCTAGATCTCAATCGTCAGTTTCATTGATCTACAAAGCCCTCTTAATCGATTTTGGCTCGAATCACAAATTTGGAGTTTGATTTTATTTGTTGCTCGCTTTCGTTGACTTAGATTCATGAATATGTTTAGTTTCAGTAGCTATGGGTTCATAATTTCAATTTTGTCTTACCTATATTGTTCCTCCTTGGTGATGTGATATAGAGTTTGTTAAATCCTCCGCGTTATAGTTTCTATTTTTTTTATGGGTTTCTTTTGAATTCTGTGTAACAGGTGTACGGTTTCTCTTGAGGCTCGTTGATGGTTTGAAGAATGAAGAAGATTCGGAACACAAATACCGCTTGACATAATGGCAATCCGATTCTAGTGATGGTCTTTGACAGTCCACAAAGTGATTTGGAATTTGCTTCAAAAGTTTATTCATATTGTAACAATTTAGATCGGGAAAGGACTGAAATTTTGGTTTTGTTGTTGCAGTTCTTTAGATGGAGCATATTTTCTTCGCAAATTTGGATATGATGCATGACAAGAACTCGTAAGTTCCAACCTTTGATTTACTTCAAGGGAATTTTCAATTAACCAACCTATGTTTCTTATAGTTTGACTAACAGACTTTAAAATGCTTATTGAAGGAGCCTGGAAAGAGGTAAATGGGTACTAACTCTTGTTATTCTTAGACTAAATCGTGCTGCATTTTATGTCCTATGGAGTCTAAAAGGTAAATGTATCAGTTCCTAAATGTACTGAGTTATTTAGCTTTATTGTTTAGGTAATATATATGCAGTGTACTTTTCTTATAACTTCTACAGCTTCTAATATGTGTTCTCGTTTTTTTGTTCAATACCCTTATAGAGAACCAGCTCGGTGTTTGATCAAAACTCTACTCAATACAGCTCTAAGATTCATAGTTTTGTTCTTATTGGTGGAAGAACTCAATCTCTTATGTTGATAACTTGAGTGTTTGTTCAATTTTTGATGATAATCTTTATTATTTGTTCTTCGCTTTTTGTGACCATGATGATGCTGAGATTGTTTATGGGGATGGTGCAGGAAGTTTTCATAAATATAAAAAGGAGGTCGACACATCTTGATCTTGTTGTGTGATGAAACGACATAATCTTTGTGTGGATTTAGCCTCAAAAGAACAATGCACTTGTTGGAGCTCACATTGTTCAGCCAATGAAGAAAGCTTCGAGCCATTAACAGATCACAATTTGTGGTCTTCGTTAATTTTAATTTTTTTTTATATACCATTTATCAATTTTGATCTTTCAATTTTTTTTTGTCTTTGTAAAATACTCGAGTTTAGTTATGTATGTATCAATAAAGAAAAAAAATACAACAAATATTTGTTTCTTAAGAAGAACATAAAATAGAATAAAAATAATTAAACTACTACAAAACAAAAAATAATAACAAAATTTAGTGAGTTTTTGATTTAGAGTTTAGGGTATAGATAGGGTTTTGGTTTGGGGTTTAGAATAAAATTTTCTAATTCTGTTATGTGTTAACAATAAAAATGAATTTTTATATGTACTTATGAATATTTAATTTAAGGTATATAAATTCAAAATTGTAAAATAGCTTTTTTGCTAATTATCAACGAAGAAAAAATAAAGTATAATAATTTTTTTCAATATTCATTTGTGAATTATACATAATAAAATAAGATAAAAGTTTTTAATATTTTTTTGCATTTTATTTTGTTAATTGATAAATGGTAAAAAAAAAATTCAAAATTGAACCCTATACCCTAAATCCTATACCCTAAACCATATACCCTAAACCTTCTAGGGTTCAATCTTTAAACATATTTACTATTTATCAATTAACATAATAAAATTCAAAAACATAACAAAATTATGTATTACTAAGTACATAAAATAAATGGATTTAGGGTTTAGGGTATAGAGTTTAGGGTTTAGGGTTTAGGGTATTGAGTATAAGAGTATAGGACATATATATATATATATATATATATATATATTATTTAGTGTTATTAAAAATAGAAATATAAATATAATTATTTTTTAAAATGAAGTTTATTATGAAATATGTTTTCAAATTGTTTTATGATATCCTCTAGTTTATCTTTTATCAATTTATTACATATTAAAAATTAATCTACTAATTAGAATAACATAGGGAAAAACACAAATAAACAGACTTGTTTCTGATTGGCTAATTCTTAGAGGTGAAGATCACACCTCATTTGATATCTACCGTTAATCTATATATAATAGCAATCTAATAAATACCATTTGCACATCTGAACGGTTGCGTCTTTTTATCGCAACTTTTCGTTAATGTTTTTATTAAATAGAAATATATATTTTACGGTTATGTTTTTTTTTTATAAATTGCATTCTGAATGTTTTCTACGATTGCGTTTTTTATTGTAACTCTTCATAAACAATTGAAACCGCTTATTCGAATCATTGCAATATTTAGTTTATTTTATGAACAATTGCAACCTTTGGTTTATATATTTAGTTTATTTCACGAACAATTGCAATTTTTGTTTATTTTATAAATAGCTATAACATTTAATTATCTACCGCCGCGTCTCTCGGTGTAACTTTTCATAAATTATTGTTTAATTCTTAATTTTTAATTACTAAAATATATTTAAATGAGATTGTAACTATTTAATTGAACTGTTTCAACATTTGGATTATTTGACGAATTATTGCAACTTTTGGTTTTGTGTTACGAACCATTGTTATCTTTAGTATATTTGATGTACTATTGCAACATTTGGTATAATTGACGAACCGTTGCAGTTTTTGCAATATTTGATATCTACGGTTGTGTTTCTCGGATAAGTTCGTCATATTTTTAAAAAATATTTAAATAATAAAATATATTTAAATGAATTGTTGTTACCGTTTAATTTAACACAATAGCATTTGGTTTATTTGACGTTGAACGTTTTGGCTTATTTATCAAACCATTGTAATATTTGGTTTATTAGTTTATGTTTTTTGCACTTGGGAATAGTTTTTTAGTTACAAATTATTGTTTTTCTAATATTAATATACTTAATAAATGCTTGTGAGGGTTTTCTTTATCATAATTTTTGTAAAATATATATTGATTTGTTATTAAAAAAATTCAAAATTATTACAATTTATTATGATTTTTTCGTTTGATATTTTTTTAAATGATTTTTGAAATATATTCTCCCGCGACATCGCGGGGGTCCTGAGTCCTAGTAACAGTAAAATCGACGGACGGATTTATTTCTCTCACTTCTCTACCTCTTAACATTCTCTCATCTTCCTCGCGACTTACACACTTCTCTACGAGATATCTGGCTTCCCTCTATCTCTCTAGCCATGGCTGGCTTTCACTTATACCTTGTCCTCCGGTTTTCTCTCCTTACCATCGGCTTCACTCACTGCTCGACGGATGTTGGCCTTGTTACCGCAATCAGGAGGATTGAGAATCCGTCTTTCTCACTCTCTGACTTCGTGACCTCGATTCATCCTAGGGATTCTCGATTATGATGTCGTCTGTGAAGCTCAGGAAACTACTTGGTTCTCGCTCTCTATCATATAACTCTTCTTGTTCGATTTTGTTTGATTTACTTGGTTCTCGATTTCTCACGGGCTTGATTCGTACTTGGGTTGATTGATTTTGATAAGTGTTTTATGAACTGATATCGTGTTGTTGATTGTTTGGTGTTGATTCTGTTTCTCTAAGTCTTAAGAGGTGTTTGACGTATCTCGCCAAGTTCTTTGCTTTCTAAATTTCAGCTCATAGTGATATAGTCTATGATGCTTTTGTCTTAATCTTTTGTTTTTGAATGATTACTTGAGGTCACGAAGATTTTGGTTGTTTAGAATCTGAATGGTTTTGGTTAGATTTTAGGGTGAATTTGATCAAGTTATGTTTGTGAGACTTTTGGGCTCTTGAAACTTGATTTTTATTATTTGATTAACATAACTTGTCTAGATAGATGTGAGGTTTTGCTTTGTGTTAAGAGCTCAATTGGATCACTGGTATTCATGAATTTTCTTTCTGTTTTGGAACAGGAACTAATGGCTTCCCAGACAAAGGATGTGATCGCCTCATTGTGATTCGCTTCACTCATCAGTTCCAGATTGAAACTACAGATTGTTTTCACCTATTGCTGCTTCTTGATCTGGTAAAGAAAGATTTGCCTTCTCTTCATTTTAGTTTAACCACACAATTGTATTTGGCTAAGAATCTAATTACTTTTGGTGGTTGATTATGTAGCAAAAACTAGTTTTATCTTGAGACATCCTACTGGGGAGATGGGAAGATTGAGAAGAAGCGTGAACATCAAAGAGTGTGCAAGGCCTCGAGAAGTTTAAATATAAGAGTTTTATTAATATATCTTTAGGACGTACTTTTACTTTTAAATTTTGTAATCTAATTTTCCAGTATTATGTTTTCATATAATATAATAAAATATGATTTTTAATATGTTAATCTATCAAAAAACCTAATAAATTATATATAATTAAAATTAATTAAACAAAATTAATGTATATAACTTGTACAAATACTGTATAAATACATCTCACCAAAAAAAATACTGTATAAATACAATTTTGTATAAATACACAAAAGTATTACAAAATGCTATAATAAACCATGCTATAAATAAACTATTTAATAACAAAAATAAACTGCTATTGAATACTATACAATTGCATATAAAGAAACGCTATTATTAAATTAATAATAATAGCAATCCGAAAAAACGCTATCGAAAGGGACAGACCTATTATCGCGGGCGATGACATAGCGTTTTCTATAACGCTGTCGTTTTTTACAATAGCGTTTTTCCGATGTTATTAATACCGGATTTTCCTGTAGTGTTAGAAACCCCAAAACCAAAACCCCAAAGTTTAGTTTTGTCTTAGCTAGATCTTCTTGTTTGAATTCAATAACTCGTAGCTACACTCTCTGTGGGATCGATCCTAAAATACTACTCTAATTATTGTGCACTTTCAGGTTAATGTGAGGTCTTCCAGGTAAAAGTCTGAAGTGAAATTACACGCACATCAGTAATTCTCCACCTCACGTCCGTTTTGCAATTCCATTTGATCAAGTAAGTAGAAATTTGAAATTCACCACCATTATGGGTATTTGATGAGGAATGATCGAGACAAAATTAAAAAAGGAGGAGCAAATTACGTGACATCACCATCAAGTCCAATCGAGCCTTATCGAACGATGAAAGTCGACATCGTCAGAATATCCCGAGATTCAAAATTTACCAATTTTATGGCTTTTCCAGGACATAAGATCGAGACAAAAGCGCTTGAGAACAGACTAGATTGGGAGATATGATGAGAAGCCGTCATAAAAGCCTTCACCGTACCACCAATCTCAACTTCACTGAATTGACTTGGGATCTAAAATTTAACGGGAAAGTAGCCATTCTGATTTTATTTGGCGAGAAGAACAAGTCAAGGATCAGGTTAGTTTGGAAGATATCAACGAAAAGGTATGAGATACGATTGTTGGTGTCGGATCCCGCACCAGAGGTCCAGGACCAATCAAAGATTGCCACGTAGTCGGGGTAACGGCCCATAAAGGATAAAGCCCATTAGACCCACAAGTCAAAAGAACAATCGAAGTGGTTATCACCATAAGGAGAATTCGAAGTGACTGCACCTCGACACGAGTCCGGAGACGAAGTCATGGTTAAGTCGGTCCAAGGATATTTGGGCCAAAAGGCGAGGCCCATGAAGATCAGAATCAACTCAAATTCGAACGTTGAGCATTAAAACCAAAGATCAAAACGGACACATTTAAGAGAGAATAATTGTACTTAATTAGCCATTTAAATGTCGTTTTTCTATGTATAAATATAAAGGCCAATGGCCATGTAAAGGGGATCTATCTCTCGAGCAAGAAATACTATAGCAATTTTTTGTAACAATTCATAAGCCTTTTTACATTCTTATTTTTTGTCCCTCAAGAATAATCTTTCCTATTTAATAAAAATACTTGAGTGTGTGAATCCGACATCCACATTTTGGCGCCGTCTGTGGGGATAGAGGATTCTTGAGTGGTCAGATTTTTCTTTACTACATTTCCGAGATAAGCAGCAATGTCCGGAGGAGACGCCGTTGAGACATCATTGGCCGAAACCCTCAAAGCTATGCAGCAAACCATGTCGGACATATCACAAAAGTTCTCGGATGTGGAAAAGGCCGTCGATACGTTGCAAACATCCCAGGTATCTCTTAGTCAAAACGTCAATACTATACAAACTCGTGTTCGCTCTTTAAGTGCAGGAAATCCTGTGGGAATCCGAAGGAGGATATTCAACTCGCCAAGTTCCGTTGCGCGAAATGAAACCAGCGGACAAACAACTCCTGGTGCTACTAATAATGTAGTTCAGCCATTGGATGGAGAGGCACAGCTCGAAGATGAAGCTCAACTTGCAGATCAATATGAGCAGGAAAACCTCGACCAGTTCGAGACTATGAGGAAGGTTAGCCAAGAACTAAAAGAAATGAAGTCAAAGTTCCATCAAGCTACAAGTTCGGAGCCAGACATCAATCGAGTCATTGAAGAAGCTAGGCGAACACCTTTCATCTCGCGAATTGCGAGTTTGAGAATCAAAGATTCCCGGAAACTCAAGTTGGACCCTTACAACGGATTGGAGGATCCAAAGAGCTATCTCGCAGCTTTCCTGATAGCTGCCGGAAGAGTCGAATTGGATGAAGCTGATGAGGACGCAGGTTACTGCAAGCTTTTTTCGGAAAATCTATGCGGCCAAGCTTTAATGTGGTTCACCCAATTAGAGCCGGGTTCGATCAGCAATTTCGACGAGCTATCAGCTGTATTCTTAAAGCAATATTCCATCCTTATGGATAAAAGCGTTTCGGATGCCGATCTTTGGAACCTATCACAAGGATCAAATGAATCACTTCGAGTTTTCATCACCAAGTTCAAAGGAGTGCTGTCAAAGCTCCCAAGAATCTCACAACAATCAGCTTTATCCGCCCTACGGAAAGGATTGCGACATGATTCAAGGTTTAAAGAAGATTTAATACTTCATAAACCAGACACAATTCAGGATGCACTCTTCCGCGCAAACAACTGGATGGAAGTAGAGGACGAAAAAGAAAATTTCGCCAAAAGAAATAAGCAAGAAAAGCCGGCAATCACCGTCCCTACCAAGAAGTTCGAGCCTAGGGAGAACAAAGGACCAAGAAAATTTGGATCGCAACCCTTTAACAGTACCGTCGGAAAGCAATTCCAAGGAAAAGGAAGGTCAAACACTTGGGTCCGTGATGAAAGTTTATATTGCGATATTCATAACGTAACCGGACATTTAACCAAGGATTGTAGTGTCCTTAAGAGGCATCTCGCGGAGCTTTGGGCCAGTGGAGATCTTTCCAAATTCGATATAAAAGATTTCGTAAAGGAATACCACAAATCAAAAGATAATTCCAAAGATCAAAATTCTAAAAGACCAAAGTTATCCAACGAGGAAGAGCCAAGGAGTTCAAAGGGTAAGATCAACGTGATTCTAGGAGGTTCTAAATTTTGCCAAGATTCAATAAGTTCCATCAAAAAACATAGGCGAAATGCTTTACTCAAAGCAAGTTTGAACGAAGAAGTCGATTTTCAAGGTGCATCAATATCATTTGACGAAGAAGAAACGCGGCACCTCGAGAGACCTCATGATGATGCATTAGTCATTACCCTGGACGTTGCCAACTTCGAAGTATCAAGGATTCTTATCGATACGGGCAGTTCGGTCGATCTAATCTTTTTAAGTACTTTAGAAAGAATGGGAATTAGTCGGGCAGACATAATAGGGCCTCCATCTCCGTTAGTGGCATTCACAAGTGAATCGACCATGTCCCTCGGAACCATCAAGCTACCAATCCTTGCCAAACGGGTGTCGAAGATCGTGGATTTTGTTGTCTTCGATAAGCCCGCGGCTTACAATATCATCCTCGGAACTCCCTGGATTTATCAAATGAAAGCAGTCCCCTCTACATATCATCAATGTATCAAATTTCCAACATCAAGTGGAGTGGAAACAATTCGGGGAGATCAAGAAGCTTCACGGACGTGTTATCTAGCTAGCCACCGTATGAAGATTCAATAGCAATTAACGAAGCCCGCAAAAGAGGGACTAAGATCAAAATTTCCTAGCGGACAGAAAAAAGATGATGTAGTAATTGAAGTGGTATTGGAAGAAGACAAACCGGACAGGAAAATTCGAATTGGGGCAACTTTGACTGGTCAAATAAAAGAAGCTTTGATCGAACTCTTGAGGAAAAACAAAACATCGTTTGCGTGGTCAGCGGCGGACATGCCTGGCATAGATCCAAGTATAATTTGTCATGAACTAAACGTGGATCCGAGCTTTAAGCCGGTGAAACAAAAAAGAAGAAAGCTCGGAGTGGAGCGAGCAAAAATAGTAAATGACGAAGTGGATAAACTTCTGAAGATAGGGTCCATAAGAGAAGTACAATACCCGGAATGAGTAGCAAACACTGTCGTTGTCAAAAAGAAGAATGGAAAAGATAGGGTTTGCATCGACTTCACAGACCTCAATAAAGCATGTCCCAAAGACAGTTTCCCGCTCCCACATATAGATCGACTTGTAGAGTCCACCGCTGGGAACGAGCTGTTAACATTCATGGACGCCTTCTCGGGTTATAATCAAATAATGATGAACCCCGAAGACCAAGAAAAAACGTCATTTATCACTGATAGAGGTATCTATTGTTACAAGGTAATGCCTTTTGGTTTGAAAAATGCAGGAGCAACTTATCAACGGTTGGTTAACAAAATGTTCCATAATCATCTCGGGAAGACAATGGAAGTCTACATAGATGATATGTTGGTTAAGTCATTAAAGAAAGAAGATCACATTAAGCATTTAGAGGAATGTTTTGATATTCTCAATAAATATCAAATGAAGCTGAACCCGGCGAAGTGCACATTCGGAGTCCCATCCGGAGAATTTCTTGGCTATATTGTGACAGAAAGAGGGATTGAAGCCAATCCAAATCAAATTAACGCTTTTCTAAACATGCCATCTCCAAGAAACTTCAAGGAAGTACAACGGTTGACTGGGCGGATCGCGGCTTTGAATCGTTTTATCTCAAGATCAACAGATAAGTCGTTACCTTTCTACCAAATTCTAAAAGGAAACAAAGGATTCCTTTGGGACGAGAAGTGTGAAGAAGCTTTTGGACAGCTTAAGGCATACTTAACCACTCCACCTATACTCTCCAAACCAGAAGTGGATGAAAAACTTTATTTGTACGTGTCGGTTTCAAACCATGCGGTTAGTGGAGTCTTGGTTCGGGAAGACCGCGGGGAACAGAAACCAATTTATTACGTAA